GTTAACATATTGGTTTACACCCATGTGAGTTGCAGATTTTAATACATTGATCTTGATAATGCTTTTTCAATCAATTGTCAGATTTTTGACACTTAGGGAGGTGTCAATCGATGTATTCACTTTTTGTGTACAAATGAGTAATGCTATTCATCCCTACTGGGGATAAAAACACAGTCTACGTGACGTTAATGTGACATTAAATGATAGGTGAAATTAAATAAGTTATTTAATTTCACATTTCATTTAACCTATCATATAACACCACCTAAACTGTGTTTTGGGGATGAATAACATTACTCGTGTACAAATAGTTTAATCTGAAAAAGAAACATATCTCTTAGAAATAATGAATTAATCCTCAAGTACAGGGATTGGTTGACAGTATCCATACGACAACACCCTATTTGCCTTTTTTTTTTTGAATTCTCGTCAAGTGTTATCTGTGAAACTTTCCTGCTAAAAAAATTTGTACTTATAGCATGATTCGAAAATGGATTAAATTGGTTGGACATGGTCAATGACGGATACTGTTTCCAAATGCTGAAGTTGCAGTTTTTGATTGACAGTTTTTTCTTTTGTTTTATTTTATAACTACCAATGAAATTTTGTCAAATGTATATCTGTATAAAACCCTGTCGTTGACCCTGTTCTTGTAGTAGATCTCTTCGAAAATAATAGATCGTCTATTATTTACCGAAGGGTGATTAGCCGTGTCCTATTGAGCACTTTTGGTATTTACCAGAAGGGTGATTATGCTTTCAGTTTCTAATTTTTTTGGGACAAAAACGTGTGTGTGTGTGTGTTTTTTTAATGGTAAAATTACCTAGGCAGAGTATTTATTGATTTTAAATAAACGTACAAATAGAGGAGAGGACTAGGCCAAGGCTAAGGCCACCGAATAGAAAACAATGCAAGTATATTTCAACTAATCAATTACATTTAGAGGTTACAGAAGAACATACTATAGTTAATTAGGAGTAACCATGGAACAAAAACTGGCTTCAAGCTTCAACCAAGGCTACAAGATCATCTAGATTTGCTTCTAGTAACTGAAGTGTTATTTCACACTTATTTTTGACCATCGAAAGTGGATATTTGGGAATCACTTTGATTATGTTGTTACTTGATTGTTTTAGAAGAAAACTCAATGATGGATGGTGAATGAAGAAGTGGAGCGAAAATCAAATGATGGAGATCAAAGAGGAACAAATTGTTCATGATGGGGACTAAGTGTAAAGATTTGAAAGATGAAGAATCCACGATGCAAATAAAAAAAGTTGAGCTGAACCAAAAGGACATTCAAGGATTAGTTTGAACCATTCGACCGCCGCGAGGTAATATTATGTTTTGGAATTGAACCATGCAATCTCATGGTTCTATTTACACTTCTATTTTAGAGGATAATGGATACGATTATAACCCTAATCTTGGGCTGGAAAAAGGAGATTTTCATGGCGTTCAAAAGAAGAAGAGCCTTGAATTCATAAACACAAACACAAAATCATAACCCGATTTAATACTTTTACTTGAAGTTCCGAAGACGAAGAATAGAAGATACGAAGATCATTCAAGAGTTATTGAAAAGATTCAAGTGTTTACTTTCTACAATTGAAATGCATTATTATTCAACATCGTATTTGTATAATTTTATGATGCTCAGCTAATTGTTTGGACACTAGGATGATGATGCACCTTATTTTTTGAAATTTAATGTTAATTTCAAGTTTTGAAGTCAAATAATTGTTTTCAATTACTTAATCAATAATTGAATAGAAACGTTATTTTTATTGTGTTCAAGCAATCATTATAAAGTTAGATAGTTATGAATATATAATTATTTATTACATGATATTGTTGTGAATGTTCTTGGAACTTAATTCGTTTTCATATATTTCCATCCTTCACAGAGATATAGTAGGATTGTATGTGAGAATTTTTAATATTACTTAAGAGAGATTATTAAATAAAAAAGCAACATTAATAGTCAAATTTGAGTAAGTATTGTCAATTACTTTAGCTGATATTAAAGTGAAGGAATAAGGGGCTTCGAGGTTGTGGTTTTAATTATTTGAGTTCTCATCAAACCTTGATGGTTTTCTTATTTTTGGTTAGTTGTTGAATTTGAATTGCAATTACCCACATCTATAAAATTGTGCTATTTCGATTAAAGTTAATATTAATCGAAATCTACTTGATTGTAAAATCTTCGTGAAAATGATCTTTTGTTCACATTTTATTACTTATTTACGTTAGCATATACTTGCGGAATTTTAGCAAATAGAATTGTATGATGCTTGGGCTTATGTCCGGCAACAAGCTTGAAGTCATCTTCATAATCGGCTTGTAGGGTATTTTAGTATCCGCAATGAAATTTTCTCCCAAAAATCGACAAGTTTTCACTTTTGGGTGATACAACAATTCTTGCTCAAACAATTCTTTACAATTATCATAATATATAGGAAATTCAATCATATTTGGTGTACACCAAGTTTGACAATTTAAAAAAAATGTTTTTCCTTCAACAAATTTATTTAAAACGAAGACAATGTCAAGAAGCATGATGTACACTTTGGAGCATCGGTGGACCTAGGGAGATCTTAAGCCCCCCAACTTTTGACATTTTTTGTTTCTATAAAATCATGTTTGATAACTATTGAAATCTAAACTTTAATTTAAATTAAAGTTAATAATTAATTTTAATAGCATGTTTCATGGAATCCATAACTTTTCAACTTTTATCAAATTTTACTAAAAAACTGATTTTAATTCCCCACCAAACATGGACAAAATTACAATAAATTTGATTTCTCTCTCTCTCTCTCTCTCTCTCTCTCTCTCTCTCGCATTTTACCAAAATCTTAACCCTTCTAATTTTTTAAAAGTTGTCTATAATTTCTATACAAATGATTACATCCACTACAAATTTTCACTTTTCAATCAAAATTTCAACTAATTAGACCTAAATTTGCATTTTCTCCTATCAAATTGTATATATAGATTATGTCTAAACTGCTTATATCAAATTTGACTTATATTTAACAATTGTGTTTATTTGATTGATTATTAGTGTTGAATATTAGTTAAATATTTTTTCTTTTGATTACTTGAATTGATTGTTTGTATGAAATACACCATAAATTTTTTTAAACGAAAATATGTATTTTCTTGTGATAACCAAAATATTAAAATAATAATTGTTCGAAATCAAATAGATGAAAATGATGAGCAAAATATTAATGAAAAAATATTTTTTAAATGTAAATCTGTATTTTCTCGAATCAAGTATGAATAATTCAAAAATCAAGACAAAGTATTCGATCTGTATTAGGTTTAATTGTACACCCATAACTTAAAATGTCTGCTTCCATCCCTACTCTGGAGTGTACAAATGACATTTCCCTAGAAAATTTACTTTTTCCACAAAAGATGAACTTGTCCAAACAGTGGCCCTCAATACCTTCAAGCCCTCCTATACATGCAATATCTTGTTTGACCAATTCCTTTTGTTTATCACAAGAGATAGAAGAAGCTAAAGCAAGATTATCAATACAATGGGATTGAGAGCTTGTGCACTCAAGTTCAAATGAGTCGACAAAGGTTGAATGAACTTTCGGCTCAAAAGGAGCAGTTGGATTCAGAATGGAATGAGATTTGCNNGGATTCAGAATGGAATGAGATTTGCAATTAGAGTTATTGACATTAATAATATTGGTAGATTGAGCTTTCTTGAAGTCTTCTGCAAAATCATTAATAGCTAACCTAAGATTTTTCCAATTTTAACCCAATGGTTTTGCAAATATTACTTTAAGCTACTTTTGACTTTACAAAGAGAGTTAAGAGTCGTAAATGGATCGAGGACGAATTTTTTTCAGATTTTGGTTTTCAAAAGATAACATATTTGGGTCAATTGGCCCACTGTTTGGAGACGATGATTTGGGACTTGTAGTTCCTAAATTTTTTGAACAAGGGGCTGATTTTTGTTGGTCCATATGTGAAATAAAATGCAGAGGAAATTGAATTTTGTGCGGAGACCGATTTGAGCTTGATTAATGTAGAAATTACACTAGGGACTGTTTTTAAAATTTGTATTTTGTAAATCATATTTTAAGTTTTATATTTCAAAATTTAGGTTATAATTAGTTATTTGATATATATTAAGAAAATATATTACTAATAACTCGCCCCTTCACCACCTCATCCCCACTCAATTAAAATCGTGACCTCCCGTTCCTCTCTCTTTTCTATCTTTGTTGGAAACCATCCATCAGCCACACACAATGCAGCGCCGCTCATAGGACCA